GAGAGAAGAGCAATCTTCACCCAGAATTTTTGAATTTTTTTTGAATGTATGTCAAATTTGTAATTGGAATTGTGACCACTGAGGAAGGCCCTTTGAGGGGCCGAAACGCGTTTGGTTCAGTTGCACAGCACTAACCCATCTATGTATGAATGTTGGGAAGTTTTTTTATGTCTGAATGGTACATTTTTAATGAGTCTAAGTTTTAAAATGTGTACACCTGAATAAATTTTGCATTTTTATAATATTTTGAGTCAGCTTAACCCTTGTGGATCCAGAGCAATCTTCACCCAACACAGACGCAATAAGGGACAAGGTCTTCCTTCACTAGAGAGGCAACAGAAGTTACAGTCCCTGGTAACAGGGGTGTTGGGGAGGAGTGTTGTAGAGGTGATAGTCCTAGCAAAACTGCTGGGAATGATGGAGTCATACCAAGATGTCCTCCAATGGTCAAGATTCCACGCTCAGCCTCTGCAATGCTTCCTTTTGCCCCACCAGGACACGATTGCACACAAGAGGGCCAAATCAGTCCGGCTTCCAGATGCTCTAAAAAGCCAGTTGAAATGGTGGGTGGAACGCTTCGAACAGGGTTCTCCCCTTTGGGAGCCTAAGAGGGTAGTGATGACCACAGATGCGTGCCTTTCCAGATGGGGGGCGCATGCTCAAGGGAGAGTGTCACAGGGCCTCTGGTCTCGAGAGGAGACCTCCAGGAGCATAAACTTCCTGGAGCTCAGAGCCATCAGACTAGGCCTGATGGAATTCAGTGAACTTTTGTTGGGTTGACACGTCCTTGTACAGACAAACAATATGACAGCGAAAGCATATGTGAGGACCTTCTAGTGCAGGGGTCAATGGGAGGACCTTCTAGTGCAGGGGTCAATGTGGCACCCATGGCCAATGTGCCTAAACCTCACAGCCTGGAGATTGAGCGGAAGCAACTAGCAGATATGTGGTATACAGAGCGAGTAATCGAGACCATGCTAGCCTCTAGGAAAGGGCCCATCTGGCAGGTTTTTCATGCATGGTGCGCAGAATGCAGCTTGGATCCCCTGAAGGTATCGGTTAAGGGGATTCTATCCTTTCTCCAGGATGGACTGGATAAACGACTGAGTGCCAGCACCTTGAAAAGACAGGTAGCTGCAATCTTGGCGGTAAGGGGGGCCAGGAAGGGGAGGACCCTAGTCCAGCAGCCCCATGTCAAGCGCTTCCTTAGGGGGACCATGCTATTGAACACAGCACAGTCACATAGATTCCCTACTTGGAACCTTAACACAGTTCTAAAAGCACTGTGCAAGGCCTCATTTGAACTCATGGCAACCTGCCCACTGAAGGAGTTGACCTTTAAAACCCTTTTCCTGGTTGGGATCATGTCAGCCAGGAGGGTATCGGAATTAAGGGCCCTCTCCATTGATAAGGAACTCTGCGTGTTCCACAATGACAGGGTGAACACTGTTGAGGCTGGATCCGGCATTGATTCCCAAGGTGAACTCTGTATTCCATAGGTTGGAAGAGATTGTGCTTCCCTCTTTCTGCTCAAACCCTAAACATGATAAGGAAAGAGAATAGCACTGTATCGACGTCCGCAAAGCCTTTGGTTTCTACATTGATAGGACAAAAGCAGATGCCTTCTTTGTGGCATTTAGGAAATCATCCCAGGGACAGAGAGTCTCTACAGCCACCTTGAGCAGGTGGATTAGGGGCTGTATCATAGTGGCATACAAAGCGAATGGGCTGGAACCACCTGAGGGAATCACATCACATTCCCTACAGGGGGCATACAGAGCCTTCCCGTCATTAGAGGTGGTCTGTAAGGCAGCAACCTGGAAGTCAGTGCACTCATTCTCTAGACATTACCACACAGACAGGTCAGCCTTGGCTGAGGCAGCCTTTGGCCGCAGGGTTCTGCAGCACATCATATAGCCTGAAAGTACAAACCCACCCTGGGACACACTGCTTTTGTAAGTCCCACAAGTGATGACTGCCCCACTCCTTAGGACCACTGGAGAACAGAAGATTTGTCTTCACTTACAATGAAGCTTCCTTCTCAGTGGTCCAGGAGTGGGGCAGTCATACCCATCCAAGACAAAAGAGAGAGAGAGAGAGAAGGGGGGATGGCTTCAGGTGTAGCGGTGGTGTGCTGAAGAACAGGGAACACAGCCAGGAAACACTCCCTCCAGGGGAATGGGCAGGCAAAATATCAATAGAAAAGAGATTAGCTAGGGAAAGGCAGTTGACCTTAGACAATAGTAATTGAGTCCAATTTCCAACAGTACTCTAGTGGGCACAGATGTTCACACGGGGTCGGAAGGAAGTTTTTGTTTTTCAGTTAAGAAAAGGGGAGATTTTGGCTTGGTGATGACTGGGGAACTCCCAGGGGGATAGGCCCCTCCCCAACTGGATTAATTTCAAAGAGACCAACCCTGCTTGACGGGGGAGGAGCTATCTCACAAGTGATGACTGCCCCACTCCTGGACCACTGAGAAGGAAGCTTCACGGTAAGTGTAATTAAACAATGATTGGATATGAATGAAGTAAAGCTGAAGACTGGAGGGACTGATAAAAGAAAGGTGGGAAGGAGGAAAAGGGGAGACGGTGTATAGGAGGAGAGGAAGGGATCTGGAGGAAAATGAAAATCCTTGCAGGTTCCCTCATTGTTACAAATGAAAAATTTGGCCATACACAAAACAGTGGACCTTTCCATCCACTCTTCCAGCCAGGGATCTTTCCTTTTAAAGGTACCTGTCTCAAATTCTTTCCATGATTCAGGGGAGATAGTTTTCCAATTTCAATTCAGTTATTTATTTGCCATTTCATACACAAACGCTTCAGTCCCGTTTAGGAACTGGGACTGAAGCGTTTTACCTGTCATCCACTTCCAAGTGGTCTCCAGTGCCCTCTCCCGGTTCCGATACACTTCTTTCCCGCCTTTTTTTGCCCGCGCGGGCGATCTCTGGTTGTTGTTTTTTAAAACGTTCGATTTATAGCTATAGCGCTATAATGGTATAACGAAATAGCATTATATCAATCCCATTGGAATGCATGGAGTTTTTGTTATACTGCTATAGTGCTATAAATTGAACGTTTAAAAAAAAATCGATCACCTGCGCGGGAGGAAAACGGCGGGAAAACAAAGCGGTGCAAGTCTGAAATGCCAATATATTTTTTTTAACATACTTGCAGCTTTCTCCTAAAGAAATCATAGAATCATAGAATGTTAAAGTTGGAAGGGACCTTGCAGGTCATCTAGTCCAACCCCCTGCACTCTGTAGGAGTATACTGAAAGATAGCCCTACATACCTACAACATACCCGAAAGATGGTCGCCCAGCCTCCGCTTGAAAACGTCCAGCGAAGGAGCACCCCCCACCTCCCGAGGCAGACTATTCCACTGCTCAACCACTCTTACAGTTAGGAAGTTTCTCCTCCGGGAATGACTCCCTTGTAATTTCCACCCATTAGATCTAGTCTTGCAATCCGGAGCAAGAGAGAATAGATCTGCTCCATCTTCTACATGACAGCCCTTCAAATACTTGAAGACTGCAATCATGTCCCCTCTAAGCCTTCTCTTTCCCAGGCTAAACATACCCAACACTTTCAGCCTTTCCTCATAAGACTTGGATTCCAACCCTCTCACCATCCTGGTTGCCCTCTTCTGGACACGCTCGAGCTTGTCAACATCCTTCCTAAAATGTGGTGCCCAAAACTGGACACAGTACTCCAGGTGGGGCCTGGCCATAGCAGAATAGAGCGGAACTACCACCCCCTGTGATCTGGACGCAATGCTTCTGTTAATGCATCCTAAGATTGCATTAGGTTTCTTTGCAGTCACATTGCACTGCAGGCTCATGTTTAGCTTGTGATCAACCAGAGCACCTAGATCCCTTTCACAAGTGCTGCTGTCAAAACAAGTCCCTCCCATTCTATATCTGTGCCTTTGATTTTTTGTACCTAAGTGTATGTCTTTGCATTTATTTCTATTGAAATTCATTTTATTTGTTTCAGTCCACCATTCCAGCCCATCTAGATCCTTTTGAATCCTGACTCTGTCTACTTTAGAATTAGCAATCGCACCTAACTTCGTGTCATCTGCAAATTTGATAAGCATCCCCTCTATGTCTTCCTCCAGCTTTCTCTCTCTCTTATCTATATTCATTCTAAAATAGCTATCATCTTCACATCACCGCACATGGTGTAGTGGTTAAGAGCTGTGGACTATAATGGGTTTGTTTCCCCATGCCGCCAACATACAGCCTGCTGGGTGACCTTGAACCAGTCACAGTTTCTCTCAGAACTCCTCAATTTCACCTGCCTCTTAAGGTGACTGTTGTTGGGAGAGGAAGGCAGGCAATTGTAAGCAGCTTTTAGACTTCTTAGGTTAGACAAAAGTGGGATATAAAAACTAACTCCTTCTTAGTTTTAATTCAATTTGATCACTTTTTCTTCCAAACCATTCTGCCAAGATGGGGAGTATCTCTATGAAGCCACTCTTGCCTTTGTGACATCAGTAGTCATTACACCAATCACTATCCTCCTCTCAGACCTATTAGCATGTGCCAGAATGTGTAAAATAAATCCACTGACAAGAATTAGGTAGGACGTATTTGACCTGCAGTGGCTCATTCACACATACAAATCTCTGTGGTAGCCTTGTTCACACGTGAGTCACCTTTTGAAGCCTTTATCATCAAGTGTGGAGACACTTGGGGTTTGAATGCTGTAAGTATTTTTTTGCTTAGAAAAGGAATGTATATACTTATTTCTGTTGGGTAGATAGAATGCATTATATAAACAAACTGTTTTCTAAGGCTGAGCATAAAGGGTAGATTCATATTGTGTAATACACTTTGAAAGTTCTGGAAAAATTATTTTTATCTTTGTATTTTGTATTTGACTTTTATGAAGAAAAATAAAAAATGTTATGTAAAAAAAGTGTGGACACACTTGTAGGAACCAGCTCTCTGAAAGCTGCCTTCTTTCTCTAAACCTTTTTGAACCTTCTTGCAGGCAGACCGGCAGTATGAGGTCCCAC